GCCTCTTATAAAGGCAACCCCCTTCCATCTACCCAACAACAATTAATTCCTAAACTCTTTCATCTGACTTGCACCTATTACCCATTATAATCTATCATATTATATCCTATCAAATAATCTACAAAGATTCTTTTTAATATGGTTGCTCTGTTTCATTTGCTTTTGGTGTTGCATTGTTTTGATGCCTACTTTCAGATGATGCTTGCAGGCTGATCATAATTTTTTGGTTTTCTTGTGATGATTTCTGTTTATTTTGAAGGTACTATTCCCATAAAAAGGATTACCTTGAAATTTGCCGATGCTACAAGGCAATATATGAGATTCCATCTGTCAAAGAAAATCCTACCGAGTGGATTCCAGTAGGGTTCCCTTTTACTGATTTGATTTATCTGTTATTGTCAGATAGTGTTTCTCCTTTTTTTTCTGAACATTTTCCTTATGTGTAGATCCTGAGGAAGATATGCTGGTACTTGGTTCTATCACCACATGATCCAATGCAGTCAAGCCTTCTCAGTTGCACCTTGGAGGATAGGAATCTGTCTGAGATTCCGAACTTTAAGTACGCCACCCTAAGCTTGGGCTTGTGTTGTGTTAGGCATTTTAGTCATGCTTTCCTTCTCATTTGCTGCACCTGTTACACATCACGTTGTAGGTTACTGTTGAAACAGTTGGTCACTATGGAGGTTATCCAGTGGATAACTCTTTGGGATTCATACAAGGATGAGTTTGAGAATGAGAATATCCTTGAAGAGAATTTGGGTGAAGAAGCAGAAGAAGATCTAAGGGAAAGAGTAATTGAACATGTAATTCCCTTACATTATTATATTTCGTATGTACCCTCTCTCCCTCCAAATTGCTTGGGAGGTATTTTGTGAATGTCTTATTTTTCAGTTTTCAGCACTTCTTAATGTGAACGTTAATTTTTGTTTACCTTGCCAGAATATTCTTGTTATATCAAAATACTATGCGAGGATTACTTTGAAAAGACTTGCAGAGCTTTTGTGCTTCAGTGTCCAGGTTAGAATGCTAGTTATGATTATGTGCCGAAAGGTTATATGTGGTAATTGGTTGTTTTTAATGTGTTTGGGTAAGCCTGTAGTGTTTCAGATAAATATCTCAGGTCCTTCACACTAACCAGTGGCAAGGTAGTTTCATGTTATATTCTGCTTTAGTCAGGAATGAACCTACATATAAGCTTTTCAGGACAACTGCCTCCTCAGATATTCTCTTTGCCTTAGTAGGCTAAATTACAATTTATTTCCTGATTTGTGATTTTGGTCTCCTTTATTTTTTACAATTTTACTTCACATTTTTGTAAAACACCACAATTTTATCTTTCACTTTTGCATTATTTTTCTTTTGGTCATTTGAACCATAGATCCGACATATTCGCGTTCCATTGGCAAATAGTTCAATTAATTAAATAAAAAAAATTAAACATGCAAAATTAAGAATTGAACCTAAATTGCTGATTTTCTAAAATAAGGGGACTGAAATCATGATAGAAAATAAGGGGGCCATAATAATTGCAAATCAGAACATAAAAAGAAACCAAATTTGATATTTAGACTTCCTAATATTACACAAATGTGTTTTCCTGCACAGATTTTAATAGGTATTGCCCCACAGCTTAAAAGATCTGAATAGTACATTTACCCCTCAAACTGATCGTTATATTGTTTCTTAATGATCTACAATGAATACACATGTTGCAAAACTATTTTGAAGATTCTAACTAATTCTCCTTGCAAACTTTAGGAAGCTGAGAAGCATCTTTCAGATATGGTTGTGTCCAAGGCATTGGTGGCGAAAATTGATAGACCCATGGGAATAGTTTCTTTCCAAAGAGCCAAGGATAGCAACGATGTTCTTAACTCATGGGCAGCAAACTTGGAGAGGCTGCTTGATCTTGTGGAGAAGAGCTGCCACCAAATACACAAGGAAACCATGGTGCATAAGGCTGCCTTGACGGTTTAAGAAGGTCCATGCCACTATTAAAAGTTACAGGTAATTCTAAAGGTCCTTACGAGAGTAATATATGGAATTAAGTTTTGAAATATATGGAAACATGATGGTTCATTACTTAACTTTTTCCTTTACTATCTATCACAATGCTCTATCTGGTAACTGCAGGAGGAGCTCAATATAGATGTTATTTTGGACTGAAGTTGCTTTGACATATGATCATTTGAATTGTTGCTGATTAGGTTGGTTAGGTATTGGGGGATTAAATGACAATGCTTTCTTTTTTCATTTTATTGTCAATGATGAAATTAAGATAGAGTTGATACATGCTTCTTAGTGTTGTATACTAATGGTTCATACGTTACCACCGACTTATGAGAAGATCCTGAACGATCTTGTTGTAGGTCGGTCAGTGGGAAGATAGTGCTTGTATTCTTTTGTCCGTTCAATTCTCCTGCATTCCTTGGGTTCACTATTCAGTTTCTTCTGTGTTTTAGATGCGGGTGTCTTGTTATTTTTTTTTTTCCTTTACATTTTGCTAGCTGAATTTTTCTTTTGTTTGAGTGCTTAACTTTGGAGTTTGTCAAGGGTGTGTTTCTTTTGTTTGAGTGCTTAACTTTGGAGTTTGTCAAGGGTGTGTGTAATATCTCGGTTTCTAGGATGTCATGATTTTATAAAAGTTGGTCAATTTTAAAACTTTATCGTAGTACGGAAATGTATTTTCAAAAATCTTAATCTTTCAACACACATAATTAATTCAAAACATAATAGTTTCAAAAGTCTTGTCTAGTAGTTACAATATTTCAAAAGTAAATAAAATTAAGGAAATAAAATAACTAGAATTACTTTGTTTCAAAAATCTATATTAAAAGAACTTTTTAAAAAAACTCAAATCTTTAAAGTTATTTCATGAGTCTATTTTTGTTTTGGAACATTATAATATCATTTGTTTATGTATAACATATTATAGATCATTGTTGATAATTTCATTCACAAATAAAAAAACATGTATGAGATAAATTATCGATAAAATAATCATACTAACAAAGTATATACATAATGATTATATCAATTATAATTAAACACACAAGACCTTCGAATTAAATTAACCATAATGAAACATTCCAATAAAATAGGATTCTTAATCTTTTAACATAAACAATTCAAATATTGAATTATTCGATCATCGATCTTTAACTATTAATGTCATCTTCAACATCTTAAACTTGGGCCCTCGTCTATCTATCCATTAGCACTTATGCTAATTACCTATTATAACCATTATAGTAACACCCTTATCAACATAGTAATAACTGAAACATCTCAAGTATCTTGATCATCATCATAGATACATCACCATCATGACTCTCACAGTCATGAACAACACCATGAGCATCACCGTACCATAACATCATTTTGAAAATAGTCCATCTCACTCTTGTACTCTACCTCACTAGCTGTAGCTACTCCTACAGTCCACCTGTAGCCTCCCCTATAGATCATCTGTAGCCTTTCCTACATATCTACTTGAATAATCCTGCAATCTAGCTAACGAACATGTAGTCTTGCCACATGATAACAGTTGAAAAACTGTTATTTTCATGCTTAAAGTTGATACTAAAAGCAACCTTTAGACTTAGAAACTAGCTTGAAATCATGCCTTTTGTTTATATTTTCAGAAATAAGAGAGCTGGACAGGTTTATGCTTGATTTAAGTGATTTTGTGCAGGTTT